AGTTCAATACCTGGAACCCATGTGATAGAAAGAGAAAACCAACTCCTCCAAGCTGTCTTCTGACCTCCCTGTGTATGCCACAGCATGCACACATATACATACAAAATAAATAAAATAGAATTAAAAAATTTTTTTTAGTCTGGGGTTCAGAGAAATAGCAGCTATAGAACCGCACCATTCAAGACACATACTGTTATGCCATTAATTTCAAAGAAGCCTGTGTGGTGACCACTACTGCTTCTATTCTCCAGGCAGTGTAAATGGAGCCAGGTGGTCACTGTTTTACAAAGCGACACTGCTGTTGGGTGTACCGCAGCATCAAAGTCCAAGTCTGCTATGTTCCTCCCAAGTTAGAGAGAACAGAACCAAGGTCACATGGCAGAACCCTACAGCTCTTACCTTCATCTGGGCAGATCCGAGGTTCACAACCCCTCTACTTCAAAATCTTTGTATCAACAAGTCAGTGGGGGATTTAACCAATCAATGAGAAAATGACTATTATCAGAGATTATACTTAAAGATTTGAATAAACATAGATAATTTACTTTTTGTATTACATAGCATTGCAAATTATAAGTACAGAATGTTCTTATAATTGCAGAATGGCTGATCTGTAAGAATGGCCTCAGACATGCTCTCATTTAGTAAATATTAATTTGAGGTCCCTAGAAGGACCCCACACAGCAACCAAAAGAGAATATTAGAAGACTTATAATCCACCTGAAAATGAGGTAGGACTCATAGCATGGAGATCTTTAGGTAAATGACACTGACCAGTTAATTTAACGGCAGAGTACAGAGACCCTAAAGATCAAAGCCTTCTACGGTTCGAAAACTATTTAGATTCACAAACCTGTACTTCAACTCGGTGCCTGCTTGTGACTAACACAAAAGTTCCTTTCCTTGCATTGAACACTTGCTGATCCTAAGAGAACTATTTCAGTTAGTGACTTCAGAGATACTCTGCGATGTACTGACAAATAACTGAGTAAAAACCAAACCAAACAGGACTCAGTCTCAAGCGCTCATGACCAGGGACCAGCAAGATAGCTCAGCAAGTTAAGGGTGCTTGCCATGCAAGCCTGAAGACCTATCTGACATGGACCCTCAGAACTTGTATAAATGAGGAAGGAGAGTAGCGACTCCGTAAGTCCTCCTCTGACCCGCACAGGCTTGCCCTCCACACACACATGATAACAAAATTTAGAAAGAAGTCCTCATCACCAAAGAGCATGTTAAATCCAGCCACACTGAATAATGATATAAACCTTAGCAAATGATCCATCTTTCTACTGGTTGTCCATCTGAGGAATTCCTGTGACCATCTTCTTCTTAACTAGTTTTCCTTTTAAAATACTTTACAGATTTTTAAAACAGCTAAAGTTATAATTCAGCAAGTTTTTAATTACACTTTGAATATATACTATCTGGGGCACCAAAGTGGCTCAGTGGGTAAAGAGGTTTGTCACGCAAGCCTGACTACCCGACTTGTATCCCCAGAGCCCAAGTGCACTAGTGTTGTTTGTTGTCAGTGTAAATGCATCTAGAATCACCAACGAGATGGACCGCTGGGCATGCCTGGGCAGAATCATCTTCATTACGTCTTAAGGTGGAAAGACTGCCCACTGTGGGTGGCACCATTCCCTCTCCAGGATCCTGGACTGTACAGATGAAGACAGGAAGCTGAACAGAAGTGAGCACTTAGCACCCTCTGCTTAAGTATGGTACGATGTGTCCAGCTGCTTCGGCTCCTGCTGGTTGCCCCGACTAACTTGCCATGAGGGGGTGAGGATATACCGCTATTCCCTTACATTGCCTCTGTCAGACTATACCACAGAGACAGAAAAGTACAACACCACGGAAAGGTAAAAGAGGACTCACTCACTAGGTTGTCCTCTGATATTCATATACAAGCCAGGGAATGTGGGCGCCCAGATACACCCCCAGATACACACAAATGTGCGCGCGCACACTGACACGGGAAACAATGGATTATTCTGACATAAAAATCTTAATTTATACCAACTGAGCATACCCCTAACTTAGACCTTTTCCCAAAACCATGTTAAAATAACTATTCTATCAGCAAAAACACCCACACAGTGACTGCACCGTGGCCAGCACAGCTGCCCAGGTTCCTGAAAATATCCCACATACGCACTTATTTATTTACTTTCCAGTCTAACACCAGTGTTGGAGTTGAGCATCCCTCACAGTAGCTGATACTTTCAACACACAGCTATGTTTCATCACATAAGTCAGCAAACTTGGATGTCTCTGGCCTGATGGGAGTAGCAAGTGTACTCTTCCTGAAGCCTTTCCAACCTGTCCCTTTCCATTAAGACCAGAGTATTCCAAAGCCTCATTCCCCTTAGCCTAAAAGGATTGCAGGCTGAGTGCTTGTCACCTCACACAAAGCTCCTTTGAGGTCCCTATAGTCCCTATAATCCAGGACACTTGGAGGTCACAACAGCGTGCACAACTCAAACAAAAAGCTAAGTCTAAGAGGGTAAGATGCCTTCCAAATTACCAAATTAGAACCCACTCATACTCATTAATACAAGAAATATTCTCCGCCTACTATGAAGTGGATACCAGCGTGCTCACAGATTCAACATAAGAGAGGAGAACATTTAGTGGGAGAAAGAAGTAAGGATTGCCACAGAAACATTTAAAAAGAATCCTTTGGTATTAGGGGACCAAGAAGGAGTTTCTAAGCTGAGACCTAAAGGGTAAGAGGTTAGCCACCAGAATAGTGCGATCTCTACTGGATTATCACCAGAAAAGCCCCAGACACAAACCAACAGTTTTGGGGACACTGAAGGACATCCTTTCCCCAGGATGCAGGTTACAAAGACACAACAACAAGGCTGTTGAAGGAATAGACCCAGGAAGGCACTGTGCAAAGACGGCTCTCTCAAGAGTGATGAACACACTGTCTTACGAAAGGATGAGGCACGGTCAGATCTGTACCTTAGAAAATGTGGTCAGTGGGAAAAAAGGAATGAAAGAAGATGTTCTCTGCTGCCAGTGAGAATACTATATAAGGACTTATAGCTGCCTAGATGAACCCAGATACATCCCAAGAAACTTTTATTCTATCTGAAGAGATAATGTCCCGAGCCAAATCCAAGAAAAATACTGCATTACTTTAGGATCCCTATGATGGGTGAAGAATTTAAAACATTTGGGTGGTGAAAAGCAACACATTAGCTTTTTGTATAAATAAATAAGACTGATTGGTAAATGTGACTAATACTCCATTTAATAACTTTCTCAAGGTCTAAACAGTTCCTACACATCTTTAAATAGTTTCTCAAGGACAAGGCAGGACAAAGGTTAAAGCAGGAAGATGATATTTTTTCTTTAAAAATATTATGCCTTTGGACCCACAAAACAACTTTAGAATCATCAAAAAGTGAGAAAAGCTATATTCCTCATGGTGTGATATAAGAATAATAAAGTACCTAGGACATATTCTCATCTAAACATTTCAACTTGAGGCTTGGGAGATGGTTCAGTGGTAAAGCACTTGGCAGAAAAGCTCTGTGTCCTGAGCCTGATGCCCAGACCTGTGTAGAGCTCTCCAGGTAGTGTCCACAGCAGCACTCCTATGGTGAGCGAGACACAGGCACAGACAGGGCAGCTCTGGAAACTCGTAGGCCAGCCTGGTGTGCAGTGAGCAACACACCCTGTCTCCAACAGGGTGGAAGGAGAGGACCACCACCCAAGGTTGTGAAGGTTGTCCTTTGACCTCTACATCACAGTCATCACACATTCATACACGGAACACACACACACACACTTCAAAATCCAGTAACGTCAGAGAGAACTTATCAGTCAAATAACTTCATTTTCACAATAATCCAAAAGCACACTCAAAATTAAAACTGAGAGAATCCTGCTATAGACTTAAACAACAACTAAATGTAATATGGATTCTTTCAGGATCTCAACCAATCAGAAAATGTGAAAACAGCCTAATATGGTATCCAAATACAATAATAGGTAATAAGGAAAATAGTTCTGCTCATTTTATTAAGTCTAATAGTAAGTGAGGTATTTTTTTACATTTGTTTGTTCGATGTGTGTGCACGTGTCCAATCAAAATGCAGCTTGCAGGAGTCTGCTCTCTCCTTCCACTGTGGGTCCTAGAGGTTGAACTCAGGTCACTAGTCTTAGAAGCAAGTGCTTTCACCTGACAAGCCATCTCACTGACCCTTTTAGGTGGTTTTAAAAAAAATTGTATCAATTAGAAACATATATTTATTATTTTAAAAAGAGTAAGCAAGAAGGGCTGAAGAGATGGCCCAGTGGTTAGAGCACTGGCTGTTCTCACAGGACCTAGGTTCAGTTCGCAGCACCCACAGCAGCACCCACAGCCTACAACTGTCTGTAAGTAAATTCCAGGGGATCTGGTTCCCTCTCAAGTCCTGTGAGCACTGCACGCGCATGGTGCACACATCATGCAGCCCCTCACACATGAGGTGAAAATAAATAAATGATGGGAGGGTGAGCGCGGCCACCTGCTGCCTGACTTGTCAGTTGCAGAGCGTCGTGAGGGATGGCGCTCACCCTGTGCCACCATCTCAAGGACGGGCAGGTGAGTTGCAAAGCCACCAGCAGCACTCCACATACTACTGTTCCCCTCCGCTCTCTTCCCTGCTGGCCACAGAGCTGAACGGAACACTCGGATGCCTGCCTGAGCCGCAGCACCCTCAGCACCCTCAGCACCCTCAGCACCCTCAGCACCCTCAGCACCCTCAGCCAGCAACACACATGACGCACAAATCGTCCTGCTGCTGAGTGCGCAGAGGGAGGCAGTGGCATTGGGAGGGTTTGCGATTGTCCATTTCTCTGCAGAAAAAGCAAGTGAGGCACACGGACGTGGAGGCCCCGCTGACCCTAACCACTGACAGAGCTACAAGCCTGAATGTCAGGGAGTCACCAGCACAGGCGCTCCCTCCTGGCGCCGGAGCATGGATGTCACCCTCACTGACCTTCCCATGCTCCTTCCTCATGTGAGAGAGATACACATCCCTCTGTGTGAACAGACGGTCACACTCCCAACACGTCCACCCGAGACTGGCCATCTTCTTAGATTCAGTGGATTTCTTTGCAGGAGACGGAGACTTCTTTTCCAATTTCTCTTTCCCGTTCATGGACTTGGCATCCTCTCTGCTGTGGTTTGCTGAATTCTGAGTTGCAGGCTTAACGCCCAAAGGCAAGTTTATACCCAAGTTTGGAGGCCCTTCAATACTTTTCAATGTTCCATGCATAGACTGCATTGTAAAAAGAAAAGAAATGCCTATCACAAATCACACCGTTTCAACAGAATTGGACAATCATTCAGAGAATATTTCCTAAACTAAAAACACACATTTTAAAAAACATAAAGGAGAAAGCAGACATGGTTGTGACAACTGTAACCCCAGCACCCAGACACAGAGGCAGAAAGGTCCCTACGCAGCAAGTCCGGGCCAACCTGGGTTACACAATTAGAGTCTTGTCACCAAAAAAAAAAAAAAAAGTAAATAAATCAAGATGAATTAAAAACAATGGAGCCCAAGCATGGTGGTACACACCTTTAAACTCAGCACTCAGGAGGTAGGAGGAGGCAGATGTCTGCAAACCTGACGCCAGCCTAGTCTATGTAGCAAGATCTACGCAAGCCAGAGTAATATAGTTAAGACCCTACCTCAAAAACAAAACAAACAAAAACAGAGAGGGATAAAGAAGCATTAACCTTTTTACTTGTGGGGTCTCACTTGTCATGGCACATGTATGGAGGTCAGAGGACAACTGTAGGAGCTGGTTCTCTCCTTCCACCATGCAGGTCCTGGGGACGAGACTCAGGCCATCAGGAAGGCAGCAGGCGCCTTCACCCACTCGGTGATCTTACCAGCCCATAAAGAAGCATAAGAAATGACTCTGAGGACTGCTCTAAGCAGCGAGAGTGAGATGGCCCAGTGGGTAAAGGCACTGATGATCTGCGTTTGATCTCCAGACCAAATACTCAACTCCTAACAGATCCCCGACCTTGACATCTGCACAGTGGCAATGCACATCCACTCGTATAAACACAGCACATGCACACGAAATAAATGAATGATATAAAATACAAGTAGGCTGAAGTGCAGAAGGGTAGCCAAGGCCCATGACCCAACAAGTCATGCTGCTTTCCACATTCTTGGAATACCTGTACCCTTTCAGGACAAGTACAAGCCCGGGCTTTGGGATCCCTTTTACTAGGAGTACATAGCCTCTGTGAGTGTACCCAGTAGGTACTTAAAAAGCCTTTTAAAATCGTGTGGCTGCTTATTATCATTAATACAACAGTCAACAAACAGCCATCCTAAACCTCCTAACGGATTTTAAATGTGGGAGGGATATATTCAGTATAATTTGACTCTCTCTTGCCTCTCTCGGTCCTAAGCACTGAGTATGGAGCTGCATGCATTCTAGGTAAGCGCTCCACACTGAGATATGTGCCATTCTACTTTTTACTTTGAGACACTGTCATCAAGTTGCGCAGACTGTCCTTGTACTCACACTTGAACTTACAACCCAGCTGAGGTTACGGGCCAGTATTACCAGGCCCAACTGATTCAGTTGATTCTAAAGACTAGCTCACTCTGCTTTTGTTGTCTGTGTACTAAAGGCAGCAAGTCTGTGCTACAAGACACAGCTTGTCAATGAGTGGGGCCTTCTCTCCTGATAAGCAGCTGACTGGTGGCTTGCCCCCAAGTCCTGCCCCTACAGGAGTACATACACAGGCTCTCTGATATACCAAGGTCATACAGACTGGCTCTGTGGAATCATTCTATCTCCCTCAGGAGATAACTTCTGAAGAAAGGACTTGGCTAAACAGCACAGCATTAGTGCCTTCTTCCACACTGTTCTTCCCACGAAGAAAGGGAATGGCTGTATGGTGTTCTCACCAGGGAGGACACAGGTCTCCATGCACACAGAGTCAACTGGCCCACCCAAAGGGTTGAGGGCAATGCTGACCAGGCCCTCCGACCAGGCCCTCCGCACAAGGGAAAGCAGGACACACCATTTCCTTATAGTCACATCTGCTTCTCTCCTTTTACACGGCAGACTTCTGTGTGTACAAAAAGACAGCTGGTTTGTGCCTCGGTACACAACTTACCTGCTTACACTTTGCGAGTGCAGTCATGCATGCATGTGTGCAAGCACAGGTTTACGTGTGGAGACCAGAGGTCAACCCCGGGCATCACCCCTCCATTTTAACAATTACACTCTCTCTCTCGCTCCTCAAGCCTTAAACTTTCCATAAGCTTCTAGGCAGATGGAAGAGAAGGCAGGGACATAAAATAATCCTGGGGATGGAAACCATGGAAAAGAAGTGGGGGTTTTGCCAAGACAACAAGAGCACCGGGAAATGCACTAAAACCCAGGTTTCCCAGTTATATATAAATTAAGCAAAAGTAAGACAAAAATCAAATGCCTTTTAAAGAAATACAAACATGCCTAGCATGTGCAAGGCCCTGCATCTGATCCCCAGAATCATTAAAAAAAAAAAAAAAACAAAAAAAAAAACAGTAATACAACTTAATTCTTTCAGACCAATTTTCCCTTAGCTCTTGAAAGAGCAGCTAACTTAGCTAACTCGCCTGAATGTGAATGCCAATATGAAAAGTAAAGAAACATGTATTCTGGGATATGATATCAAGGAGGTAATAAAGAGCCAAGAGAAAGAGAGAGAGAATGAGGGGGGAAGAGAGGGAAAGAAATAGAGAGCCACGCTCCCTAACATCCCCATTCCAGTTCTCCTTCATGACTGCATCATGGAACATCCCAGGTACCAGGCAACGTTAATATGGAACAAGCAATAGATGCATCACTTTAAATATAAAGATGCCTCTAAAACATTGTGTTTATTCTTACCTACCAAGCATAATGTAACAGGCGCTTAGGACAATTGGATGTACTTAAAATGAAAACAGGCTAGTGAGGGTTCAAATGACTGAGAACAACCCTGTCCTCCTATGGCCACATGATTATACCCCCTTCCTCATCTCATTCATCCCCATTCCCTACTTCAAGAAGAAAACACACACACGCGCGCACACACACACACACACACACACACACACACACACACACACCCCTTCCTGGTGCCCCAATTAAGTTCCAGAAACCAAATCTCAGAAGCCTTATAAGAGAAACATCCTCATCCCCGCCTGCCTCCCATTCACAGGGGAGAAGTAAGAACCTCGAACCGACTGAGTGTGACACCAGACTTCAATCTCATCACTTAGGAGGCAGAAGCAGGAAGGTTTCTGGGAAATCAAAGCCATCATGGCTTATACAGTAAATTCTTGGCAAACCAGGTGTTCTATTAAGACCCTGTCTCATATATAATCACAGCCTTTGAAGCTAAAAATGGAGCTCGGTGCCTCAAGAGATTGGAGAAAAGAGAACCCAAACAAGAACCTTAGACTGTATACCCACACCAGATTCAACAACCAATGTACCCTAAATATTTTACCATCAACTCAGTCAGTGGTTGAGAACACTTACTAGTCTCCAGCAGAGAACCTGGGTTTGGTTGCCAGCACCCACATGATGGCTCACAACCATCTGTAACTCCAGTTTCAGGGGAACTTTTGACCTCTTTTGACCTCAGAGGGCACCAGGAAAGCATACAGTGCACATACATCCACATGGACAAAAAAAAAAAAAGGGTGTAACTATATAGCCCTGGCTAGCTTCTGTAACTTGCCATATAGATCAGACTGGCCTTGAACTCACAGGGATCCTCCTGCCTCTGCCTCCAAATGAAAGTATGTTCCATCATACCCAAATTTCATACTATTTTTATAGGGTAAATGAAAGACTAAAGGGTATCAAATACAATGCAACCTTAAGTGCTTATATAATTTCAATAGGGAAAGCTCAAATTTTCTTATATAAAAATATATAAGTTAGCCTAATTCATCAAAACTCCTATTTCTTAATCCAATAACAGAGTTCTCAAAACAGAAAACTCCAGAAGCTGAAGAGATCGCTCAACAGCTAAGGGCACATACTGCACTTGTAGAAGACCTGAGTTCAATTCCCAGCACCCATGCCACACAGTTTACAACCAGCTCCAGGAGAATCTGACCTCTGGTCTCCAATGGCATTTGCATTCACATGCATATACCCACAGAAAAACACGCACACATAGTTAAAATAAAAATAAATCTTTTTTTTTTAAATAAAACTTTACAATCATCACTTTCATGTACATACAAAGAGCTCTAATAACTTTATTATTCTTTTAAACCAGAGCATGCACACCTGCTCCTCTTCAGCAGTCTTTGGGAGACAGAGCAAGACTCCTGAATAAAGAACATGAGGACAGCAAGTGGCATGGGCCGGCGTCCATCTCTTTCCCTAGATAGCAGCATGCTCTACAGAACTCTGCAGCGCAGCCAGGGCCTACAACCATGCATGTATCTGCGGTTCACTTAGACAGGAGGAGAGACGCGCACACACACCTTGATATGGTCCATCATAAGTTGCTTCTGTGCATATAAAAGAGAACAGTCTGGACACTTGAAAACAGACACCTTCTGGTTTTCAATGTGCTGGTCAAAGTGGCGATACAGCAAGGTTTGCAGGGTGAACACAGTGTCGCACATGGAACACTTATAGATTATTCTAGAACAGAAGAAGCGCAGCGAAATACAGTCAGTCAGCCTTATCTCGAGTCAAAGCTACTACTTAGCATCTAAGAACTCAGGAGGTAGAAGCCACTGAGAGGACACAAACGAGGACATTTCAGCTGTGATACAGTTTTCAGGACAACACATCACTAGAGCACAGAGAAGTCTTCAATTCTGACTAAGACACATTCAGCAATATTTGTTTAGAAATCTCAATCGGCGACCATTTTCTGCCTCACAAGGCTACAAATGGGCATGCTTGCAAAAAACCTTCCAGTACATTAACACACAGCAAAAAACATCAAAATTTCTCTCTCTCTCCCTCTCTCCCTTCTTTTGAAAAAGGCAATACAAGTGAACGGCAGCATCCTAACCAGAAAAAGAAATGTGGGGTGATTTTTTTGGTGAGGTCAAACACAGCAACACAGCTCAATGATGGTGCCCTAACTAGAAAAAGAATTTGATTAATGAACTAAAGGCATCCAAACTCTAATACCTAGACAACCTCTTCTGAGTTTACACTTAAAATTAGCAATTTTATGCTTCAATATAAATTTTTCCATTCCAGTTTTAACACAGAAAGCTGTACGCCAGTACATAATGACAGAGATGAAAGACAAAAAACACTATGGGAAAACCCAATGACTTCTAAAAGTGGTTTCCAGTCCCATACACTAGACAGAAAGTCCATATATACTACATTACCCCAACCTATCTCCTTAAATTAATATTCAGCAGATTGGAATCTTCTAAACAAATCTCTTCTACCCAGTTAGCTCTCTCCTGAAGCTCAAAGCTCAGGTGTGTTATTTAGTAGGACTGGGGGGTTGGGGGGGGGCGCAACTCTCCCTAGTGTGCAGCTGGGACACAGCATCCCTTCTTAACTGTCCTGGTCCTTAGGGAGGGCCTGTGGAACCTGGCTCCTTTGAAACACTGTGGAACACGCACAAGTCTGAGAAAAGGAGAACTGGCTGAAGAGAAAGGCCAGAGGGAAAAGTACAAGTTTAACTTAAAAACTGTACAGCAGAGCTAGAGAGTAGTTCTTGAATGTGTTCTTATGATAGCTTCTCACACAGCTTCATATTCCACTGGGCAATGCTCTCACAAAAACTGTAACTGAAGCCGGGCACAGTGGTACACACCTTTAATCCCAGCACTCAGGGAGGCAGAGGCAGGCAGATCTCTGAATTTGGGGCCAGTCTGGTCGACAAAGAGAGTCCAGGACAGCCAGGGCTACACAAAGAAACCCTGTCTGAAAAACTAAAACAAACAAACAAAAACTGGAACTTGGCTCAGCATGGTGGTCAGCATGCCTGTAACCCCAGCACTTAAAAGGATGAGGCAAAAGAGGTGCTGTGAGTACAAGGCTAACCCAGTACACAGCAAACATTACCTTGGTCGTGACTAAACAGCAAGAGTCTATAAGAATAATAATAATAAATTTATTTTGAAATTACAGTTTTAACTCTCTTTTCTCACAGAAGACTTTAAAATGTACCAGAGGGCCACATGTTTTTCTAAGGTCTTGCCAAAATATTCATTTTCCAGTTTATTCCTGGCAGGCTTTCCCAACAGAGTCCAGTGCTGGTCCCCTCTGGCACTTCACCACCACAGTAAAGTATCCAAAAATGCTCATGTCCTACTGTTTCAAATTGCTTCAAACAGCCTCAATAGCCAATGAAACAAACCATCACAAAGAGCAGCCACAGAAGGACATTTTTAAAAGAAACTGCTTATAAAGATTTTAGGAAAACTAAAACAAGGTAGTATTTATATGTACACATTTCTTCATTATTAGTGATTTATTTACTGTGTGTGTATGTGTATGCCATGTCTATGTGGGTGTCCCTGGAGGTCAAAAGAGGGTGTTAGATCTCTGGGAGTTGGAATTACATGCAGCTGAGAGCCCCAAGACATGAGTGCTGGGAACTGAACTTGGAACCTCTGGAAAAGCAGGTAGCATTCTTAACTGTAGAGCCATCTCTCTAGCCCCATGATCACATTTCTTAAAGGGTAGAGAAAAGAATTAGAAAGCATAAGATTATCATCATTCCTAGGGATAATAGTATATGTGCTTACACTCTACTGCTCTGCTTATCTTTATTTTATGAGCTTCCTGTAATAAAAATACAACACTTGGACAAAAAAAAAAAAAGAAAAGAAAAGATTGGGATGTAGATATGGCTCAGCACTTCTGAGTACGGAATGCACTTGCAGAGGATTCAAGTTTAGTCCCAGCATGGTTCCACGTCAGGCAGTTCGCAACTGCCTGTAACTCCAGCTCTCGGAGATGTTCCTGCAGTCATGTGCATGAACACACACACACTCTCTCACAGAATTAAATATAAAAACTAAATCTTTAACAAAGAATAGCTTAATAACAGCATCTGTACGAAAATACCATGAGACTTGGTTGTTTGCATACCCACTTTATAAATTAATTTTTAAAATAATACATGAAATAAACAAGTATGGGGAAAAATTTCTTTAAGAACAGAGATTTATTAGTTGGACAGACTATTCACTTAGAATTCTACTTCTCATTATTTCGTAAAACCAGGTATGAGGTCTTGAGAGATGACTCAGTTGTTAAGAGCTTGTACTCTTCTTCCAAAGGACTAGCGTTTAGTTCCCAGCACTCACACCAGGTAACTCACAACTTCCTATAACTCCAGCTCCATGAGGATTCAAAACCTCTGGTCACTGTATGCATCCACACACATGTGCACACATGAACATACACACACATATATTTACATAATTAAAAAGAAATCTTTTTAAAAAAACACGTATGTTCTCATTTTCTTCTGGGGAAAAATATAAAAACCAGATGACAGAGTTACTTAGCATCTTTTTGAGGAAACTGAGGAACAAGTTGTTGGTATGTTATCAAAAAACCTCCCCATGCAACACTAATGAACCAGGGTACCGGTGTGCTTCTGTATTCCCAGCAGAGGCAGAAAGGTGGTGAGTTCCAGGCTATCCTGGCGACACAGCAAGATGTCAACCCAATAAGCAAAAACAAACAGAAAGCACTAGGAAGAGGCAGCCCTAATTGGAGAAATATGGCAGAAACCAATCAGGCTCAAGGAAGGCTGGCAGGAGCACGGCTGGCAGGAGCACCATCGGGAGATGTGGCTACTGGCCGAGCATCCATTGAGGCCCACAATGTGCAGCCTCATTCTCCAAGATTCTCCCAATGATGAGAGCCAGGTCCTGGGTGACAGGGAAGGGCATCCCAGAACGGACGGTTGCTTGCTTCAAGGTGTGGGAAGGTAGTGTTGAATTCAACTGTTCTGGAGGGAGGGCAGGGACAGGACAGTTAAACCCAAAAGGCACACCCTGGCGAGGATCCGGGAAAGACAGGAAAAGCTGACAAGCTCGAAAGGTCTGAAGGCAATCTGTGGACCAGCTGGCAGGGTAAGCACACAGACATCCTGAACGAGAGCTATGTGCTGATGACGTCTATGAGTGTGCTTTTTTTAAAAGGAAAAGAGTACACTGAAGTAACAGGTCATAATGTCCTGTTACTCCCAAGGATGAGAGGGAGAGTGGGACATGAGAATGATGGGCTGTACCAGATCATGTAAAAAAGGCAGCAACCAGGGACTCCGGGGGAGGGGCACCCACGAGTTCTCAGTACATACTGCCAGCATTTTTGTGGGGCAAGAATCATTAAAACTAAAAACTAGAAACAGCAAATAACAAAAGCACCAAGAACTCACAAGTACGGTATTAAGGGACAAATCATGAACATGGAGCAAACTTCCTGACAACAGTGGAAAGCCTGAGGGAAAAAAAAACCAGTCTGTTTCTCTGTTGCAAGAGAAAAGGGAAGGTTTTCCAAACAGGGGGTGGGAGGGACAATCCCTAATGCAAAGGCAGAGACCAGCAAGCTGGTGGGCCTCAGGCCCAGTGCCCTGTGTACATTGGGGTAGAGGGTGATGCAGAGCTGGGAAAGGCTGGAAGAGCACTTGTAAAATCATGTGTATAGCACGAGGGGCTGGAAAACCAGGCCATTGGGGGTGGGGGCAGAAACCAAAGCACATTGCATCTCCAGGTCTCCAGACACTGCTGTACATGTGTGCAACACAAAAATAAGGTGGGGGCTCTGAGCTCTGGAGCCGACACAGTGAGCAACTGATTAAATCCCAGCAGGGGGAAGCACCGCTCTCCACAATGTGACTGGTTCTCATACCCCTGGCGAGGTGAACTGACTATCTCCAGGTCCCATGTCAGAGACACGAGGTTATCTGTTTGATTATTAACTAATTCATTCATTCATTAATCCCAGTGCCAAGGCTTCTTTCCCGAGACCTAGACGGTTCCCTATCATGCTAATAATGTAGTACTGTAGGCTTTGTTTCTCAGGAGCTTGTTCCAAATCGGTCTCGTACACAGCTCTTACCTTGGGAACTGTAATCTCTGCTTGACACATGCTCAAAATGACATAAATTATCCAGCAATTATTAAAGAAGTTTCAAAGTGTCCTTTTAGACAGCAGAGAAAATATGCCCACCCACATCCTGGAAAACAAGAAACAAAGCACTTACAGTAGTGTCTGGGACACAATAAACATGTTACAGCCTGCCTGGTACTTTGCAAATTGAGCTGCTCAAACTGTAGGATTTCGGGAATATGTTCAGTCATGAATATACTTGGTACAGAAAATGGAAATGAGATGGATACTAATTGATGAAACTGACAGAAGTCATTTTGGTAACTGTGAACCACTTGCATAACATGACCATCCAAACCCTGCTGTGAGGGGTCAGCACCAGAAGGTCCTCTGACTTGAGCACCACTGCCTTGGTTTTAGTTAATTCCAAAAATGACCATTTAATGGCCATAGGAGAGGTTTTTATAATAGCTTGAATGGGCGAGGTGGCAAGAACACTACCTCAGCCCAGTACCACAGGCCTGAAGAACCCCTGGGAGGTAAAGCAGCGCCCACCAGAGAGCCAGACTTCGGGCAGGCCTGGACTCGGGCAGAGCTGAGGACGGAGGACAGGGCGAGTACCAAGCTAATGCTGCAGACATAAAGCTGCACTCATTTAGGGCTTCTGTCTTCCATTTCATCAGTATGCTATTTTTATTTTACAATTTAAAACACAGTCATTTAGGCCTGAGTTTAGGTACTCGTTTGTTAAAGAAAACTGATAGTAAAAAAAAAATTAATTAATTAAAGAATATATAAAACTAAAGCTGGGAGTGGTGTCTCATGCCTAGAATCCCAGCTAGGGGCTGAGGTCAGAGGATGATGAACTGGAGGTCAGCCTGGGCTACACAGTGCAATCCTATCTCAAAAGAAAAAGAGCAATATTTTCCTTTGCAACTAACTTCCTTCTTATTTAGATGGGATCCGTCCTAAGACCGCCAGTGGGGTCTGGATACCATAGAAACACTGCACGCTCTCATTTCCCATCTCCACATATATGCTTACCTGTCACTTCTCCTTGTTGGGCTGTGACAGCTAATTAGCAGTGACTTCACTCTTCTTCACTGTCTCTCAGGGAGAACATGTGCTCTCATCACAGACTTTAGCATATGACTGTTTCCTGCTTCTTTACTGAGGTCTAGGTCTCTAACAGTTTACGGCTTCTCTTAGGCAGCACCGGGACCACCACCCTCACCAAGCTGGCTTCTAAGCAGCTAATGGGCGGGCAGCATATACAGCATAGAAACAATGCACAGAGAGACGTTCATGCCATGAGACCCTGTGATACTATCTACAGTAGTGTATAATTTAGAACCTACTTCTGAAAATTTCCACTTAATAATTTCAGTCCGTAGCTGATCTTGGTTAACAGAAATTAAAATTATGGATAAAAGCCAGGGGACTACTCCACCCTGTAAAATCTTCCATTAAGTAAAGCTATGAAAATTCTAGACCTACTGTGCTCAAACTTGAATACTGTTCTACCTTACTTCAGAACTCTAGTATCCTGTTTCCAGTTTATAACTACTTTCCAGAGAGAATAGCTGATTTATTTGAAGGAAGAATCGATAGCTATATTCATCATCATGAGGAAAAGGCTGTGGTAGTGTGTACAAGTTTCCCCGTCGTGAGCAGTGGAAACACACTCACTAACCTCACTAATCCCTGTCTGCATGAAGACGTCCAGTGGAATGTCAATCTCCTAATTTGTAACTTGCCTTCCTTACACAAAACATCCGGGAGAAAGACTTACTTGAATAAACAGATTTTAACCCTGTTTTAGTAAATAGTCATTTGTATGTAACCGTATTTCCCCAAATTAAAATAAAAGCTGGACATTATCTGTGTGCGTATGCACACACACACAGAAAGAAGTGCAGGTATCCTACTGCATATCTACACCTCTTTGCGAATCTTTGATGATGCAGTTACACACAAAAACGCACCAAACACTGGACCAGTTCATCTAACCTCTCACAGTCATCACAGTTCACAGCCATAACGAACCCAGAAATGAAATCAACACCAAGCACACAGTGTGCACACAGTCTTCACGATGAGGGAGTGAGCCAATACAGAAACAATACCTACTGAGTTCTTCCACACCCATACAGGCACCCCGGGCTAATCTCAACCACTTCACCTCATTCTAACCCCCCAGACACCGGGGGCACAAGCATCACCAGCACTTACAGGAGACCCTGAGACAGCTAATAGGCCCAGGCCTCACAAGTGGCAGCCAGAGAGCACTGACCTGCCCCGGCCTCCTCCCCTCCCCTCTGCTCTGCTCAATGGCCCCTGCAGGACACAGGCAGGGAGACCTTGTTCAGCAGCCCTAAAGCAAAACCAACATTAAGTAAAATTAAATTTACTTCCACATCAACAGCTTGTCCTGGCTACAGAGTTAGACTCAGTAACTGGCGTCTCCGGCTGACTGCACATTAGGAGTGTCACTGGGAAAGGTGGATTCTACAATCAACAAACTACAGAAACACTGAAGATGACATAGTTTGGGTTTTGTTTTTATATTTTATATTTTTCCTGAAAGTTACTTGCTAAAAATCATCTTAAGAATAAAATGGAAGAGTTTGCATTTATTGAGCAGAAATTGATGCTAAAAGCATGAGTGACATTTTGGGACAAAGACTTTACCTGGAAAAAGTAAAATGATTTGGTGAGCTACGAGCAGAACTTCATACATCAAAATTAACACAGCTGACAAATGTTCAGATTTTAAATTTTACTTGCTACAATGACAACCTCCTCTAAATGACTACCAGAGTAGCAGAGTAAAACTCAGCCATGGGGTAACTTACTTTGGTTCTCCTATCTTGATGCCAGGATGCTGCGTGTAGGCGTGGGAATGTGTACTTGGGGCAGACTTAAACGCCATTGGACAGATAGGGCACTTGTAGAAGACTTCACAGTGAGAGCCTTGAATGTGAGACTTCAGTGCGGCCACATCAGAGTACACAACATTGCAATGTACACATCTGTTAGAGAAACAACACTGTCATTAGCACAGACCACCAAACACCGTGAGTGACATCACTGTGTGAACAGGGTGAAATGAACATATCTCACAGCCCACAGAGATTTCTCGTGGCTTTGTCTTTTTTGCTTGCAACAGAGTAAAGATAATTTTTGTGTGTTTAAAAGGGTAGATCATGAAGAAAATTGATGTACAAATAAATGATCAGTGTTTGGAGCATCTTTAATGTTTTAAAGAAGAGTGTATATAGTGAGGTCAATGGACCATGAGGGCCAGATCAGGACCAAGGTACTCAGCAAGACCCTGGGGATCCTGGATTGGGGGAGGACGTTTGTGTGCCGGAATGACACTAGGGGGCCTGATGTTCCCACCTGTCCTGCTGCCATACAATGGAAGAGGCCTTCCGATCTGCACCCACACAGACTCAACAGAGGGACAGAGAGGGCCTGGTCTCCTGGTGCACACTGGTACGGTCAATGTATCTGCTATTGGTACTGCAGGGAGATCCAGAGGGTACTAAAAGTCAGCCACTTGCTTTTGTTTGCTGGAAAACAAATCTGACTGTGCTTGTATTTGGTCTTTAAATTCCATCAAAATCAGCACTTCTGAAACAACTGGCTCCAAGCTTCTGAATTTCTATGTATACAATTAGCTCACATTCCCTGCTGAAGTCTAATCCCATAGAAACAAACCTCAAAACTAGGGACACCCGGCCAACCACCCTGCTCATCTCCTTTACTCAAGGACTCTCAGCAATATTTGTCACAGCTCCACTTGATGATGGAGTCTTGATTCACATTAAAAAAAAAAAAAAAAAAAACATTTAAGAATGTTCACCATGGCTCTTGGGGACCGTCTGAGATAACATGCCTTTCATGTGCCTGGACACACATGCTTCTAAGCTTAGAGGCACACATGGACTCATGGAGACGGCTCCTGCAAGCCACACAGAGGAGTGCGCTCCACAGAGCATACCACAGGAGGCTTTGTAGGCTCTTAGAAAATCACGGGGTTTTCTCAGTTTCATTGGGGTTTTTTTGGAATTTTTTTTTTTAAGTTGGCTGGTTGGTTTGTTTTTTGAGACAGGATTTCTCTCTATAGCCCTGGCTATCCTGGAACTTGCTTAGTAGACCAGACTGGCCTCAAACTCAGAGATCCTGCCTCTGCTCCCAAGTGCTGGGATAACAGGCATGCATCACTACTGCCCAGTACTTTCATTGTCTTAAGTGTTCAGTAATAAAAACTAAAACACTGCACAGAGGAGGAGAAAAAAGCTTCCTGGTCCTACTCACAGGAGCACGTATCTCAGTGCAGGGGTCAAAGAAGCATACTGAGATGCTTCGGGTCACCTTATTGCATTGTGTTTTTAACAGGTTCAGTGCTCCTGTCTGCTGATACTTGTTTATAAAGTGTGAAGAACTGTATAGATCATTTTCAGTCCCCACTTCACCCAGAAGCTAGTGATGACATGGATCGGGATACTGCAAGACCCTGACCTCTGGCCTTAGGGAGGGTGCCCGCTGCTGACACCAAGCACATCCGTGCAGGTACAACACAGACAGAGGAGCTAGAATCTGAGACTGAGGCCTGATGTTTCCACCTGTTCCACGGCCAGCGCCCAGATGCTGCCCAAGGCTTGACCACGTCACAGACGCACGCATCCTCCCAAATAGAAGACTGGGTTGTAGTTAAAGCAAAAGACCAAGATGAAAAGGAGCAAAGAAGTGTGCCGCTGCTCCAGGTGTTCCAGAGCCACCTGTGCCCAAGAAAAGCTTCCAACGAAGAAAGATATGGTTTTGAGTTGGCAGCAGAAGTGACAGGGACTTGGTCTAAAAAGGTACCATAGAGGCCAAGGGAAAGCAGAGAGAAGAGAAAGGACAGGAGAGGTCCAGGGCAACAGAGGCCAACAAGTAAAGCAAGCACATGGAACATGGGACGTCAAAGACCCCTGATGGTCCCTCAGCATCAGCCTCTCAAGTTCTGGGGTGGCAGACAGGTACTGCCATGCCTAGCTCTTTTTATAATTACTTTTTAATTAAAAAATGTTTACAGTATAAAAACCAACAATCTTCCTAATGTATGTATCTGAAGGCAGAGAAAAAAAAAAACAGAAAAATACCTGACTTTTATTCATAATTGACATTTACAAGTTAAGCAGGATCCAGGAATGGCTGGTCAGTATTTAAAGGACACAATAGGATCAGAAAGACTAAGCATCTGCCCCAGAAGGAGCAGGGCCAGGACAGGAGCCTCGAGAAAATCTCTGGCTATAGAAAGAATATACCAAAAAAATTAAAATAAAGAATACAGAGATGGGGGAGGTTAAAAGGAAACAAAGCTGGACTTCCAAGCCCAGTCAAGAATCATCAACTGCCCCATTATTTAAAACAGCAGGAGGACTGGGCATGGTAGCACTGTTTTTTAGTCCTAGGCAGAACTCTCTTCCATGACAGATTGGGCTACAGTATAAAGCACTGCGGGGGAGGGGCACAGAAAAATACTTTCAAGTTTTTATATTTTTTCTAAAGAAGTCAACATAAGCGGGATGGTAGTGGCACACACTTTTAATCCCAGCACTTGGGAGGCAGAAGCAGGCAGATCTCTGAGTTCAGGGCCAGCCTGGTCTACAGTTTCAGGATAGCCAGGCCTACACAGAGAAACCCTGTCTCAAAAACATGAGAGGTGTGGGGAGAAGAAGGAAAAGGAGGAGGAGGAGGAGGAGGAGGAGGAGGAGGAGGAGGAGGAGGAGGAGTCGTCAATATGAACTAAACTTCACAATAATAAACCCGGCAGGTGGGGACAGGTCGGCTTATCGGTAATCCAGATCTGGAGAGTCAGGTGCAGGAGTGAGGCCAGCAGAGTCTACACAGTTCCAAAACAGCCAGAGCTTCACATAGTGGGACCCTGAATCAAAATCAAATACACCAAACCCACAAACATGATGTTTTCACAGTTTGAATACCCTCCAGTCTACTAGGAAAAATCTATAGTTAATAAAAACTTGATAAATCTCAAAATGTAAAATTGACAGCACCCAATTTAAGAAAGTCTGCCTAGGGCAAATGATGGGCGGAGCAAATGATGGGCAGGCTTTCAGGCTGCATGTGAGATTTCTGTATTAGGAAAGATACCAGGAACAACTCAGCTCAGAAGGCTGTCCTCTGTTCATTTCAACCTATCCTTGTTTTCACTAAGGAAGGAAATCTGTGGGAACACAGCGCTCAGTAGAGAACAGCAGCAAGAGTGCAGCCTCACAGCTGCTTCCCTGGCTGTCTACAGAATCCACTCACAATTTCCAGGCATGTGGTGGGAGCCAAAGTACCAATCTGTGTGGGTCTGTGGACCGTCCTGTTTAACTGTAACCCCCCCCCCCAAGTTACAGGGCACCACAGAGCAGAGAGGACATATGAATTTCATACAAGTTGTGACAAGCAAATCTTGCACAAAGAAAAAAACCCTGATTTCTTGTTGTCTAAACTAAAGGTTTCCTAGCCAGGTTAGACCTCAATCCATAAAGCACTTGTGCACCACAAACATGAAGGCATAAGATTAAAAACAGCAATGTGTCTCCTATTTTAGAGTTAGAAAACTAGGGGGTGGGGGAATTGGAGAGAGATGGCTCAGCAGTTAAGAGTACTGGCTGTTCTTCAAGAAGACCTGCATTCAACTGCGAGCACCCACATGGCAGCTCACAACCATCTGTAGTTTCAAGGAGGTCCTCTTCTGACCTCCTCAGGCAGATCACATACACGGTGAACAGACATGCACACAGGCAAAATACTTACACCCTTAAATAAATCTTAAGAGGAGGAGGATGAAAAAGAAAGAAAATTGGGCAGAACCACCCAGGAATTAGTGATCCCAGAACATAAACCAAACCAAAATAAAAGCAAACCACACCAAAGCTATCTCATCTTTATAAATCTTGTGATGGAATTAGGACTAAGCAAAACCACTGCACGTGAACAGTCTAGCCAAACAGTAAGGGGTGCCACAGTGACACCTCTGCCAGAACAAAGACATTATGTCACCCAAGACACAGTCCCATGAAGGATTTTCATCAGGGCCATGAAAGTGGGATGGAAGTGTATTTAAGAAGGTAACAAAGTCTGAGAACAAAGTACATCATCATCTAACAACAGATAAAGTAACTTAAAGTTGCCAGATGTCAAAAAAATACACATCTGGAAATCAATATCAAGGCCAGTGAAAAGATGAAGAGCCTGGAACTGAGGTGGAGGAGACAGAAGGGCCAGACTTTCAGAGGGGAAACTCCAAAGACTGGTGTCAGAAGTGCTCGTTCACCCTCCTCTGTGGTTACAGCAATCCATCACGTCTGTACTGACTGGCCGGGGCATAGAAGGAGGGAGGTGCAGCAATGCACAGCATTCCTGCAGAGGATAAATATGGGGAGTGCACCAGCATGTATGGGGCTGGGGGATGAGTCGGTAATGGCCAACCCCCATAACATGCACACTGTCCTGGAAGGATCGATCACCCATTTATCCTCATCTGTAGGGATTGGCAAGGCCAACACGACATTAAAGGATTCGTACAGACCAACTTAGTGCAAATGAGCTGGGTTCCCAGAGGACCTGTGAGCTGCAGTATCACCAGATAGCCCACAGTTAACTATGCATGTGCACAGGCCTGTCAAATCGCAGTGCAGTTATCAGTGAACAAGCTGTACTTGCACAGAAGTGAACGACATACTGACCGAAAACCAACTCTCCGCGTGTAGTGCAGACAGTTCTTGGTGACGTGGGTCTGGAAGTGCACCGACCTGCAGATGGCCCCGCACTCGGGGCAGGTGTAGGGAGATTTGTGCTGATGGATTCTCTGGTGTGAAGCATAGCTGCACTGGTTAGGAAGCAGCATCTGGCAGACAGTGCAAGTCTTCTAAACAAACCAAAGGGGGAAACACGATTGGTCCTGCTAAGCATGGCTAATATGCAAATCACCTTAGTTAAGCTGTACAGTTAGTTATGCGTCTCATTTCAACACTGCTATAAATGACTCTAAAGCCCAAGGGGAACGCAAACCTGAAGATTACTCATTTAACGGAAAATTTTCACCCTGTAAAACAAAAATTATTAGAATTACGGAGGCAGGCTCGTGCCCAAGTGTGAGCTAAAGAAAACAGCAGCTTTAAAAGCTTCCAGTTCTGCTTTTGTCACATTTTTTGTCCCAGAGAAAAGGTTTGGACGAGATCCTCCTGCAAACTGTGCTGGCATACACACTCAACTGCACGCTTCTGAGCTCACAGGCCCAAGAGGAGCTGTACTTCCCAGTCCACAACTTGCCTCAGGAAACAGAAATCAGCCCAGGTTAATCCAGTCTCTTCTTTTTCTTCCCCAGTCATCTCAATTATTTAAATCTTAAATTCAAGAACACAAAAGGAATGGTTTAGGAACTGGTTTTCTTCTTGTACTTAAGTTGGCCCTTAAATTGATAAACTGGCCATAATATGATTTATAATTGAAATCAAACCACTCAAGCTCAGATACATAGGTTGGGACATTAAAATGAAATTTGCAGAGCACAAGGAGTTTTAGAAAGCTTAAAATCTAACCATATTAACATAAAAACTGAAATCATTTTTGAAGAAAATATTTCATTATCAAAAAAACCCTAAATACCCTTTCATCCCCTTAAATATAAGTACTAAATACATCATTAAAACACACATATAAATACTCAGTCAATACAAACTGACCTACCATCCTGAAAGCAAGTCCAAGAGAGCAGAAGGTAAAATGCACACACTCTCAGACATTTGTGCAAAAACAAGTACCACTTACATTTGAAAATAAACCATCCGTATTAAAGGCAAAGAGAGCCTCACAGGCTTTCATATTGACAGCAGTTTAAAGAAGATTTTTAAATTCTTCATAGATATTTTGAATTAAGCCCAAAACTTTAAGTTTAAGCTTTAAAATTAAGAGAAAAAAAAAAAGAAAACTCACTTAAAATTATTTCTTGTTTTTTCTCCTTAAAGGACTAAAATACAAGTTTTATCCCATAAAATGTTTATTATAATCACAAAATAAGAGCATTACAGGCAGCATTGATGAGGTTAATATCATTAGAAGACGCCCCTCCTGGTAACACATTCTTCAAAGGTTAAAACATGCCACAACAGAGTCAATAATTACAAGATCCCGGTATTGTTACACAGTCGTCACAATCAATCGCTTCTTTGAACTACAGTCTTCTATCTTCCTTCACAAGCCATTATCCCAGGTGAGAATTATGACATCTGAATTCCCTCAGGCATCCTAGGAGGCGCACTCACTTGGGAATAAAACTCATGCTTTCATTTCTAAAAGAAGTCAAAAAACATTATACATACTTGTCTACACATATACATATGCACATTGCCATATGTATCTATACATACATTCATGTATGTATATAGATATACATAAAGGTATACAGTATATACACACATCTGCATGTATGTATATTGATATAAATATATATAGGTATGGGATATATACACATATGCATGTATATTAGATAGCTATAAATATAGATATAGGTATGGAGTATACACACATACATGCATGCATGTATACTGATATAAAGATAGATATATGTATAGAGTATATACATGCATATTCATGTATGTATATAATGTAAATATAGATATGGATTGGCTCTCTTTTGCTATGAGCCAAGTAGTGAATTAAGTCCTTTAAATACATTAGAAACTTTATACAGATTTAGAGACATTCTATCATTTATTTCTCATAAAGTCAATAATACCTTCATTTTACAGAAGAGAAAATAAGACTTAATGAAATGTGCCGTGGGCCCCCCAGCTACCATGTGCAAGAACCATGATCAACCAGGCTGTAGTTGAGGATAGTGTACACTGGAATGGGGTCCCGAGAACTCAACAACCAAAAAAATTATAGTTGAAAAACTTGAACAAATAAATTTGAATGCTAAAGATGACCGTTTATGTTAAGATGAAAAATGAGCTTCTCTTTCTCCATAGCTTCTCCCCTATCTAAAGCAATATGATTATACTACTTTTATAATAGTACAAAGCCAAAAGAAAATCTGAAAGAACAAGGGGCATGTGTTACATAAAGGCTAAAAGCAAAACAAAAACCTTAAATTACCATCCATCAAGGTATAATCACAAATGGTTACTCTTTAAAATAATATAAAACGCACAACTTACTATGCTCATCACCATCACTGACATCACCATCATCACAACTGCCTCTTGCACAGCCATGCACAGCCAGCAGCTGAGGCTCCCCACCCAGCCCCAGAAGAAAGGACAGGACTCCAGCCTCAAATCTCGCACATTCACCCTGCAGCTCTTGAGATGGGAGGGCATGCTCACCGATCAGTGGGTGGGCAGGGATCTTACCTTGGGTTCACACAGGTGCACACACATCTGCCTACAAACCCAAAACCTACTCCTGTGTTTCTCTCTTGGTTACCACTGCATGCCTTGCCCTCATTCCATTTTGGGAGAAAGAACTCTCTTCCTTGATGTTTGCACAGTACCCGTGTTTCTGAACTCACAGGACACTGCTTGCTTTACTATGTGGCCTCAGACTGCATAACTGTCCTTGTCGCAGACAGCAGAGGTGGGCTTCCACAGCACCGAGGGGGAGATTCCACTAGCTCTTCCGGGGTGCTCTGAATTCATGACAAAACACATAATATCTGGGCTTAGGGGATGATGCACTGAGCACAAGAGAACTTATGGGTAATTTATGGTGTAACAGAATCTAACTTTCCCTTCCTTTTTAAGTCAAAGGAATTTTTCCTAATTGGCACAAACTAAGGCTACTCAGCAGGAGAAGCAGCAGTTTAGCCCAGCAGTGTGTGGACCGGAAGAGAAGCAAGAAATGAGGACGTACATGCACCTGGTTTGTGTCTCTGAACTACGCTTCGTGCCGTCAGAACGTGTGTAGGGTCAATGCTTAGGTGGGGCAGCTACTTTCTTCCCTGGGGCAGCTGCGTTTTCTCAGGGAATTACTTTTTAATTAATTTTACTTGTCAATAGTGAAACAGCACTACAAAACTAGGAAAAGAAAGCTGAAAAGGCCACAGTCCCTCCTGAGCCTGGTGGGCCAGTGGCCAGTGGCCTGAAATTGACAGCTGCCATAATAACACAGGAGGGAGGAGGGGCGGGGCCTGGTGTGCTGTTCAGAAGACTGGGACTCAGCACTATCTTTGTTATCATAAGTGAGGATTTATCTGACAAGGAAAACAATTCTTTGTAATTTGCTCTTTTAGGGGAAAACACAGCCTGAGAAAAGAGGGGAAGGGTGTGAGCAAGGCTGGAGAACACCACTACACAAAGCATCCACACACAGGTACACTCCAATGGACCAACAGCCTGCAAAAGCCCAGGTACAGAAGCCAGAACACTGCAGCTCAGGAGGACCAGGTGCAAAGTCAATTACAGCTGCCCTTTAACACAGTTCCACACACTGCTTCTACAGAAAGATGATGGTTCTGATGGTCACAGTAAAGCAGAGTAGTTTCTTTCCTGGCTTTCACATTTTCACAATTAGCACAGAAGGAAAACACTTTACTTCAGAGGTCACTTAAATGGGAATGACACAAAACATGTATCACCCATACTGACTACATGTATCCTTTGTTCCCAGAGCTAGTTAGCAGATGTTTCCAAACCACCCACCACAATTGGCATCCTAGCAAGAGCTGGCTAAAAGAGGTAATTCACAGATGTATGGCAGACACACATAGACTTAGAGAATACAGGTTCCTTGAGAGCTGGCAACACTACCATATAAACTGCAGCAAGACAAAAAATTAGCAGTTTGGGGAGCCAGTGGCCCACACCTGTAATACCTGCATTTGGGCAAGAGGATCATTGGTTCAAGATCAGCCTGGGTTAACTCCAAGAGCTGATCTAAAACAGTAAAGCCCAAAGGCTGTGAGTACAACTCAGCAGTGAAGCACTTGCCTCACTTATTCTCCAACACAGGGGTGGAAAGGAAGAGTGGAGGCGAGGAAACAGTCTTCTGATAATGATGGGGTGGGATACTCTATGACCTCTAGAAGAAAGTGCTTGAGAACCGTTTATCTAGAATGAGAATAAGCAGAGACTGCCCAAAAGAATTTACTCGTAACATGCCAGGTTTAAAGGCCCAGAAAGGGAACTGAAGAGATGGTTCAGCAGTTAGGAGCATGCACTGCTCATCCTGAGAGCCAGAGCCTATCACCCTTCTGGGGCAGCCCACATCTGACTGTACCTCCAGCTCCAGGGGGTCTGGCCTACTACACCTGCACGCATGCATACATACATACATACATACATGCACACACACGAGTTAAAAATAAAATTACCTTTTCATATTATTCATTTGTGCACCATAAGTATAGATATAGGAATATTATTCATTTGTGCACCATATGTATAGGTATAGGTATATTATTCATTTGTGTACCATAGGTATAGGTATAGGAATACGGGCCTGCACGTGCCACAACATCATGTGGAGATCAGAAAACAACTTGAGAGTTTGGTTCTCTCCTTCCAGTATGTAGGTTCCAGGAATCAAACTCAAGTCCAAAAGCTTGGTGTGGCAGCTACATTTACTGCTGAGCCATCTCATCAGCTCCAAAAAATAAAATAAGTTTTAAACTTCTCAGAGGGGCTGGAGAGGTGGCTCAAGAGTTTAAAAAGCACTGGCTGCTCTTGTAGAGGATCCAGCACCAACTTACAACCATTAGTAAATCCAGTTCCAGGAGTCCTATGCACTCTTGTGACCTCTGTGGACACCTGGACACCAAGCATGCAGGTGATGCACAGACATCATACACAGAAAATAATTTTAAATATTTAAAAGAGTTGTAATGCCCATGAAGTTCTTGAAACTGGAGCAATCAACCTCTAAAAG